AAAAATTGGTACAAAATTTTGTTTAGCATTCAGCACTAAAAGCACTGAAGTTCTACCTCCTCTTCTTAATCTGCATTTCCTATTCAGCGATTTGAGTGCTTGATCAACTTAAAATGAATGATTAATTCTAAACTGATAATTGATAAACATATTGTAGCGTTTTTACCTTACAGTAAGTATCGTTTTATTCTTATTGAATGAATATAGCTTAAGCTGACTGGAAGCTTAATGAGTGAAAGTAGAAATTAAGAATAATTTTATCAATTTGAAACATTGCTGTAAAATAAAATGAATTTATATACATTTTCTATAGACTGTATGATACTGTATTGAAGCTACTAATCATACAGATAGACAAAGAGGTGGTTTCTTTTTTTACTTACCTTTATTCAGCATTACCGCTGTTGTTTTCATAATGCTGCTGATGCTGTGTGTTATTGATGAAGGCGGTGCTGATGACGACAACAACGACAGTGATAATAGTGTATGTAAGTACATAGCACTATGATCATTGATTTGGTAAGTTTTTAAGGGTATTCTTGGTTATTTGATTATCGCATACTAATGAAGACGAAGAAAAACGGAATTGATAATCAACAGTAAACGCTGCTGTTTTAACTTTTAAAGTTCTCATTTGCTTTTTTTTATTCTTTGCATCGTTTCTTTCGTCTTATCGGACACAAACATTTTACCTGCTGTCATCAGCATTAATTTTTGTTCACACATTTTTTATTTTCACTTAAATAAAATTTGCAAACACGTAATCAAATTTTTTGTTGCTTGTTAAAAAGATGTTGAACGAGATGAGGGACCAAATTTCATGCCAATATTTTTCTTTTGTTCAAACTTTTTTAAATCTATTGTTGTTGTTGTCGTTGTTGTTGTTGTTGTTGATGACGATGTTACTGTTTTGCTTTGATTTATTCACTTAGTTGGAAAAAGTTTCAATTATGCAGTGTCATCGTTCTTGTCCTTTTTTCTTTTTGTAAAGCTTTTAAATTCTTTTTTTTTTTTTT